CAGCTACTTAAGTGAAGTTCAAACATCCCCGGCAAAAATCCGACCAAATCCCATTAAAATCCCATGAATATCCCATGAAAATCCCACGAAAATCCAGTAAAAATCCCATCAAGTTGTGAAAGCGTCATACTTCTGGTTCAGGTAGTCCGCAAAATTCAAGGCCTCCAAAGACGCGGAGGATACCCCCTTCAAAACCGCCGAGACGTCATCATCCTCCTGCAAGGCCCAAAACGCCAATAGACATGCATGAAGCATCATGAAACTAACAATACTTGCAAATGCAACTTCATATATACACATACACACATATATAGATAATTAAATATATATATATATATAATTGTATATATATATATATAATTGTATATATATATATATATATTTGTGTTATGCTGTGCAAATATCATGTAGTACATGCATATAAATACTGAATTTTTTTGTGTGTGTGTGTCTGTGTGTCCGTTTTGATTCTGTTTAAAAAACAGTTCAGCAACTTAACAATTGATGTAATTGCGTCAGATTCTTGCAGCATATGCTCATGTCTGGGCGACCCAAGAGCATAGAAACATGGGGATGCAATAAAAAAAAAACACCCTACGGTGAATTTACCAACAAACCTGATGTTTTCCAGACCAAGTTGCTACCACTGAGGTGTCTACGGCCAGCCAGTTGTGCTGGGGCAGTAAAAATATTGACGCATGCAATACCAGACAAAAATAAACGATAGCTATCTCTACTTGAACAAATATATATATATAATTATATATAAACATCAAAGCACATATATATATACATATATATGCATATATATATATTGTACACACACACACGCTCACGTCCGATTTGCAAACTCAAACATGTAGCACCACTATTTTCGAGAGAGGCCTCTAATGAGCTAGATATGCATTATGAATGTGCATTTCTAGATAGGCCCTGTTTCTCCATATTCTATCCACCAACCACTTGACACCCTGGGTCCGTCCTTTTTGGCCAGGTAGGAGGTGGCCACAAAGCCTGCCGCGCCGATCCAAAAGCCGCCCAAGAGGAGGCCGGTGACGCCGCCCAGCACGCCAGCAGTGGCGATGGTGTTCCTGGAAGGGAAGGGGTCAGCTGGTTCAGCTTCATCCCTGTCATTCCCAATAGAAATAACACTTTCAGCAATGGACGTGGAAGGAATTGGAGGCAAAACACCTTTCGAACTTTCAGTAAGGTGTTTTATTTGGCGAATTGAATCATCAAAACACATGAAATTCAAGCAGCAAAAAGGTTGGTCATGGTTTCGCCATCATAACTTCAAGATCAGCTCAGAGGATTTCGAGGGCCACCATGACTGATGTGGCATTCAAACAAACAGTCCTTCACATTAAACATGTTCCATGTTTATCCAATGGTCTTGACAACAAGCATGCAACACAGTCAAGTGGCGGCTTGATACAAACAGTTATAAATATACAATAATATACATATGATTACATATGTGTATATATATATATGTCTATCTATCTGTCTGTCTGTCTGTCTATCAATCTATCAAAGTATCAATCTATCAATCTATCAATCTATCCATCTATATCTATCTATAGTTGAACAAGTTCAGCAACCACATACTTACAAACAAAGAGTCCCTATGGCTCATGTTCTGCGTTATTTTTGTCCTATGCTGAGCTCAACTCGCCGCTGGTTCCCGGGCGATTGAATTGAAGTCCCATGTTTGAAGCAGCTGCCAGCACAAGAAAAAATCAATCATGTCTTTGACCACAAGGCTCTCAGCTTTGGCTTCTCTTTCGTCACCTGCACCAAAGCCACCGACTGAGACGTCTGGGGTGTTGTCATTGCTTGTCGCGGCGCCCGCAGCGCAGCGTTTCCGCTGCGAGTTCCGGCGCCGACGAAGCAGGGCACCAGCACGGCGATCGCCAGCAGGGCGAAGAACGGCAGCAGCACGCGGCGGGACATGTTGGGCGATGCTTCGGGGCTAAGGGCAGAAGCTAAGCGCTGCGGAGATGAGGGTGGATAGTGGATATGTTCTGATGCTTCCCATGCCGTGGATAATGCAAATCAAGTTGGGTGCATGTTCCCAAGTATATACAATGTGATATATACGTATGTCTGCACATACAAATTAAAACATATACAGTATGTACCTGAAAATTCATTTTTTCAAATGAATCTATATTCGGAACGGCTGCTAAATGGTCAACCATCGGTGATTGAATTGGCGGGTATCGCCCCAGAAGCGAGATGGATGATTCCAGACCAGCGGTCTTCACAACCGAAGGAACTCCCTATGATTTTGGAAATCTCAAAGGCTGAAAAACAGCACAGTCATCAGGTTGGTGGTTTAAGTTTAAACCCATCTCAAAAATATGAATCACCGAAAAACCGAAACTATCAATCATCCGACACAACAATAACTAGTTGACACCCGCAACTCCCAACCAGCAATGGTTCAGCAAACAGCCCTCCAGGATCCCACCGATCCCGCCGCTTCGCCTTCCAGTGGTGCTCAACGCATCGTCGGTGGCCACCAGGCTACAGACTCAGAGCTGTCGACCTGATATGGCAATCTTAGCTGGCATATATGGCATCTAAAATGGCCACGCATGGCAGAAAAACAAGGAACATCAACAATATTTAGATACACTTCGTCTAAATCATGCGAAAAAAAAACAGATTTGTCATCGTTCAAATTTGTTTAGTATGAACGAGATTGTCTGTCATATGTCCCCAATATGGCACTGTTCTGGAGAAACCCATCGCATTGTTGGCTAAATCCTGTAATATACAACCAATACCCCCATTGCACTCCAAGGTAGTTAGCCTAATCCTCAGTTTTGTCAAATATACAGCATACATGTTTATGTCTAATGCTGCATTTATTTGTGAATAATATGTTTCTATATATATATATATATTACATGTAATATATGTATGTGTGTGTGTTCCTGAAAGAATCTAAGTCATGAAAGCAGCGACAGCAGCGGGGCCCCCTTCAGAGATGCTTATCCTGGGCCACCAAAGCATGTATATGTTTTTTGTACATACTAAGTTCATGACTTTTTACTCGTAAAGGCAAATACCACAGATCACTCTCTGTCAAGTAGGCCTATCACAAAAAAATGGAAACATGTTGTGCAAATCAATTCTGTTTGACTCATTTGAGTTAAACTGTTAAACCCAAGGCATCTACAATCTGCAAGTTCAAAATCTGGATTTCTGTCAGGGTAGTTCGAATTTGATGTTTGTGTTGCTGCTTGAGTAACCCACCTTTTAAGCAAAACACCCACCTTCTGCGGCCTAAACAATAGGTGACTGGGGGTTCTTACCCCACATGACAGCAGGAAAACAACAACATACATTTGCGTTTACGAATGTATTTTCAATGTATATGTATGTATGTATGTATATTTGTATATGTATATGTATATGTATATGTATATGTGTATGTGTATGTATGTATGTATGTATGTTTGTATGTATGTATGTATGTATGTAAATTATATATATATGTGCTATGTAGCTGTAAATAATGAAGTCATGATTGGTATTGTCACCACATTTAGATTCCATTGTTGGATACTTTACGGATAGATACCATAAATCACGATGGTGTCGCCTGACGACACCGGACGGCATCGTCCCGTTCGCAGGTAGCCTTGTTGCCGAGAAACGGGTTATGAAAATTGGATCCACATGGTTTAAACTCGGATCTCAACTTCCATATAAATATAGTATATATATATATATAAAATAAATAAATTCTAATGGGTGAAGATAGGATATTCTTATACATAGAGAAATATAGAAGTGGAAACTATCTTTATCTCTGATCCAAAGGGATGAAAAGAAAATTTCATGCTTCACCCATTGAACCCATTGATTTTTTAATTGTGGTTTCGTTGCTCAACACTCCTCGTACTTACGATAACTGGATCTAGATCAGAATCCCTTATTTCCTTATCATTTGGCAACCTTTCAACAAGTCAATCTACTGATAAAGGGTCCCGGTAGTTAGCTAAGTTGGTTTATAAGTCCAATAATTATGGTTTATAGATGTTTATAGTACGTGATGTATCTATAGTTTTCATGGGATAATAACCCATTTATAACTGGGGGGGGCACCACCTTGTAACTATAGCAAGATGGTTTGACAGGTTGAAGCGGATGATCAACCGGTCAAGACAGCAGTCAGACAGTCAGACTTGATTTTGAGGTATATATGTTGCACCTACAATTTTATTAACTAATGCATATGTATAAAAATAGAGAAAGAGATAAGAAATGGATATATATATATTTTTGTTGTTGGGGCTTCTCAGAGATATAGATATAATGAATTATAATGATGGAACAATAGCACTTTGAGAAAGATATAAAGATAGCTATAGCAATTTAGATGTAGAGACCGTTGGAGATTTAGATATATGTATATATATACATAAATCTCCAACCGATACAAGCAAATATACTAATGTTTGCACAAATACGCCAACACAAGTTTATGTGTATACATGCATCACAAGTCATCACATCTTTTCGCTCAACGCCACGCCACAACGCCACAACGCCACGACTTAAAAGCCTCAGAAAGCCCTTGGGACCTAAGAAGGTCGAAGGAAAACCTCAATCCCTTTCCTCTCACATGAGTCATTTGATATCATGCTTGGATTTTTTTGGCAGAAAGATTCGTCGGATGGATCTGGCTCAAAATCGGAAATTGCTTCAAACAATGATTGGGGCGTCCCTGATGTGGGGATGACCTCCCTCACTGATTATTGACTGATTATCATGGATGGTGAAGTCAGCTGTACGTGTAGCACCCCCACAACAAAAAAAACGAACAGTTGGACAAACGGAAATTCTGGGAACAAACATGAACAAAACAATTTTCCTGGACATACTTCTGGGATCGTTTCGGAATCCTTTTGAGGGTCAACATCATTTAAAACGAATAGATAAGTTCATTCTGAGCCAAAAATCCGACTCAAAACAGCTCTGTGCGCTTAGCTCTTTGAGCTGGCCACAGCTTCATCAATTTTGCTCTTCAGCTGGTCTGTGACCTGGAGAGATGCAGGGTATTTTGGTGGTACTGATGGCCACATGGGATACATGTGCACGGAATATTTGTGTAAATATATATATATATATACTGTAATGTTATACATATGTATGTATACACGCATGTACATTTATATACATAGATATAACTACATATTGCACATGCATACATATTTATGTATATACGTAAACTCACATATACTATATTCATAATTAAAAATGAATAAAAATAATATATGATAAATGATAATATGTTTTAAATGTCTATCTCAACTGAACCACTGACTCAGAAAGTCTAGCTCTAGTACAAAATGGGTTCATTCAGCTATGAATAGAGCCAGAGATGTCCCCATCAACAGGTGTTTAATCTCCTTAAATCTACAATGTGGGGTCCACCAGTTATAAAGATGGTTTATAAACCCCATGAATACTATAGTTATTTGCGTATCATAAACCATAGTGACATTGGAGTTATGTTCACCAACTGAACGCGACTTCGTTGAAACGTTTTCCCCACATTGTAGGGTTATCTACCAGCTGAATGGTGTGAAATCCCGACCACATAGATCTAACCAAAATATGCCTATACCTTAAGCCTTAAATAACAACAAATCAACTTGTTACCAGAAAAAAAAAACAGTGATTTTCCATCATCTTTCATACATGTTTAGATGTTGTTTCCATAGATTTTCCACTAAATAATGAAGATATTCCATACATGTTCCACAGTTTTTCCATAGATTTTCCAGGTTCTTCCGGCTGTTTCCAGTCACGCCTTGTATTCCTTGTTGAGCTCCACCACCTTGGTGGCCAGCTGATTGGCCAAGTCCGAACCTCCAAGCACTCGAAGCACGAGCCGCGTTTTCATCAGGCGCATCTATAAATGGGTTATGTTCATAAAATGTGGTGAATTAACCTGGGTGATTAACCTGGGTGTGTTCAGAAAACCACCAGAGTTGTGAAAAATAACATTGAAATGGGTTTATCATTTTGAAAAACTCTGGTGATTATTTATTTATAAACAACAGCTTTCAGAAATGGGTTAATGTTCTTTTATTAAGACTGTGGTGATTTCAAAAAATGGGGTTAGTACTTGGGCTTATACAGCACCATAAATGGAATCATAGGTACATCATCATCCATTTTCATGACTTAAGGGTAGTATTCAATGGTTAATGGTGATTATAATACTTGTCAAGTGCACTCCATGCACCATGGGTCACAACATAGCAATTCATGGCCCTGCCGTGGCTATTTACCCTTAAGGGAGGGAATTCACGCGCTGGATGGCGCTACGGTGACGCAACCTCCTCGTGAAAGGTTGCTGCAGCTGACGCTGCTTGGTGGGACCGGACTTCGTGGGCTGGCTACTGCCCGTTCTTCGCATTGGTAGCGGAGCCAGCTGAGCCTCGTGCTCTTGGCTCTGCTCTGCACTGCTTAGGAGCCAGCTGAGCTTCGTGCTCTTGGCTCTGTTCCGCCTTGCTCTGCTCTGGAGCCTGCTGAGCTTCGTGCTCTTGGCTCCGTTCTGCTTTGCTCTGCTCTGGAGCCTGCTGAGCCCTTGTGCTCTTGGCTCTGTGCTGCCTTGGAGCCAGCTGAGCCTTCAGTGCTCTTGGCTTCGTTCTGCCGCGGCCCTTGCTGAGCTAAGGTCCTGTGCAGGCCTTCTGTGCTTTGCCCTGTGCAGGCAATTGGTGACTGGGAACTACATCCTGGACTATGTCTTCAGCGGCGAGTTCAGCTGGTGACACCGCGGTGACCAAGGACAACTATGTGCCTTTGTTCAGCGGTGCACCCAGTGACTACCACGAGTGGCGGAAGAGGATAACCCTCTACATGACCAAGATGAAGCTGTTGAAGCGGGAGGCGGAAGGTGTCCTCAACTTGATCTCCAGCCTGAGTGGAACAGCCTGGAAGGTTGTGGAACTTTCCCGCTGGAGGATGTGGAGAAGGGCGATGCCTTCAGCCGTCTGATGAAGCTGCTGGACAAGGCCTTTGAGTATGACAACAGAGTTCAACTCCCTGGCGACTTCGACAAGTACTTCAGTGGCTTCCAGCGACACAGCGGCCAGACGTTGCTAGACTATTGCACCCTGCATGACGAGCTCTACAACAGGTTGGCCGACCACAAGGTGACGTTGCCCAACCAGGTTCAAGGGTGGCATCTCCTACGACGTGCTGGCTTGACGCGTGAACAGCGTCAATTGGTGCTGACGCAAGCCCCTAGCCTGGAGAAGAACAAGGTTCAGGAGACGCTCTTCCTGGTGCTGGGCCAAGACTACAAGACGGTGGCCGGACACTCCAAAGGAGGTCACCGTGGAAAAGGCCGTGGTTATGCAGCCTTCTATGGTGATGATGAAGCCGATCCGGGTCAATGGGATGAGTCCTACGACTATGAAGCTGAGGACTACTCCGCCCACTATGAGTACGACGAGTACTACACGGAGTACAATGACTCACCGACCCACTATGAGTCTCCCTCGCACCATGGGTACTATGAGGAGGACACCACTGGGTTTGACGATGATGCAGCCTACTACGGTGATGAAGCTCCTCCTGAAGACCCACAAGAGCAAGCTGAGGAGTACGACAGTGCCTTTGCGGCCTACCTTGATGCTCGCAAGCGCTTCAATGACATCAAGCTGGCACGTGGCTACTTGCCCATCGTCGCCCTCAGCGAAGCTGGTGCTGGACTTTCCCCTGGCATTTCGCCAACAGCCTCCCCTTCGTCTTCGCCTGGTCGAGGAAAAGGGAAAGGCAAACCCAAGGGGAAGAACAAGGGCAAGGGTGGTCGCACGACCGTGAAGTACCCACCACGTGGTCCTGGAAAAGCTGACCCTCGTGGACGTGCTCAAGCAGCCCTGGCATCTACGACGTGCCTGAGGTGTGGACAGCAGGGTCATACAACCTACAACTGTCCAATTCCAAAAGGGAGCCCAAAGAAGAGATCTGCACCAACCGAGTCAGTGGAGATGAGCATGGACTTGTCATCTTCTTGGATGACCGTGGCCATGAGCGACCTGACTGCTCGATGCTGGACCCTGGCGCTTCAGCATTCCTGAGCGGCTACGGTCCCTTCAAGCGCTACGTGGAGAAGCTGCGCGAGATGGACTTTGACATCACGCAGCTGGAGTTCATGCGATGCTCACGCACCTTCCACTTTGGAGGTGATGCAAGCTCTCAGTGCCAGTGGACAGTGAAGCTGCCCATGTTCCTGGCTGGCCAGTTTGGCTATGTCCAGATGTACCTCCTTAAGGGAGAAACGCCTATGCTGATGGGACGGCCGATCATGGAGCAACTTGGATTGGTCCTGGACTGTGGCCGACGACGCATCAAGCTTGGCGACATGGACTGGCAGCCCACTGTGATTGGAGCCCATGGCGAATACCTTTTGCCACTTTTGGATGACTACGACTTGGCTTGGCTGGCTCACCCACCAGCGTTTGAGCTGATTGCCCCAGCCGACACCGAAGCCAACACCACGTCCTTCAAGGAGTTCAACAACATGGAGAACCTGTTTGAGATGGCCCCAACTGAATGTGCATCGAATGAGGGCATGCGCCCTATGCAGCGCCATCTGCTGGACACTTGTGACGTCCACTTGAATGAGTTGGAGAACAGCCTACATGCCTATGTCACCTCCGAGCTGCACAACTCTGGTGACCGACCTCGGGTCCTGTGGGAAGTGTACTGTGGCGAGGCTCGAGTGGCCAAGATCGCCGAAAGCATGGGCATGACTGTGGAATGTTTTGGGCCCAACACTGGATGGGACTTTGATGACCCAGAGCACCAACGTGCCTTTCTTGAACGTCAACGTGAAGAGATGCCAGATGAAGTTTACATCAGCCCTGACTGCCGGCTGTGGAGCCAAATGCAGAACCTTGCGGCTCGAACTGAATCTCAGCAGCTGGAGCTCTACAACAAACGAGCTCGACACCACAAGGTGCACTTGAAGTTCGTTGCCCAGATCTACATGGAGCAGGTGGACAATGCCCGACATGCTCATATAGAGCAGCCTGAACTTGCTCGCAGTTGGAAGACCACCGCACTCAAAGATCTTCCGGGCTACTTCACGATCTTCCACCAGTGCATGTTTGGCAGCTGCTGCCTCAACCCTGTTGGTTCATGGGAGCTTGTGAAAAAGGCGACAGCCCTTCTGACCTCCAAGGTCACGATGTCAGTGGCGATGAATCGACTTTTGTGATGGGCAACACAACCACTGTGCTTTGGAGGGATCTGCAAGCGGCATTGGCCGTAGAACTTCCTACATGGAGAACTACCAGCCCAGCCTTGCGGCAACACTGGCCTCTGCGATCTACGCTCCAGATCCACCTCAACTATGGGAACACGCTATGGCAGTTCCGGAGCAGAAGGAGGTCACTGGTAGACTCATCCAGTTGCAGACCAACCTCAAAGCAGAAGCGGTGCGAACAGTCCAACGGCTACACCGCAACTTGGGGCACCCGAGCCCAGAATCCCTTGTGGAACTTCTTCAAAGTCGAAGTGCTTCCGATGCTGTGGTTGAAGCCGCTCGCTCTTACAAGTGCGTGGCCTGTTTGCGCTACAAGAAGCCCAACAACCCATCACCAGCGACTCTTCGACAACGAGCCACTGAGTTGGGAGAATGTGTTCAAGCTGACGTTCTCTGGCTGAAGATTGGCGACAACAAGTTTCCAGTTTTGTCTGTGGTCGACACCGCCACCAAATACCAAGTGGCATCTCTCCTGAAGTCCGAGCGTGGTCCCGACCTCATCAAGGGCCTCGAGCGATGCTGGATCAAGCACTTTGGCATCCCCACCAAACTGGTGACGGACGAAGGGAGAGGATGGTGTGGTACTGAGTTCTCTGAATGGACCACTGACTTTGGTGTCCAACATGAAGTTGCCCCAGGTGAAGCTCACACGCGCTTGTCTGCAGTTGAGCGCCGACACTCTGTCTTGCGCAAAGCGGCCGAGATCTTCATGACTGACCGCAACCTGGACAACACCACTGGAGTCCGAATGGCTCTGACCTACGTGTTGCCCCAGATCAACTCTTCGACAACGGTGGCTGGCTTCAGCCCTATGCAATGGGTCCTGGGCAAGCAGGTGACACTACCTGGTGAACTTTGTGGTGAACGACTTTCGCCTGGCCAACTTGATGGCTACAACTTTGAGAATGTCCTCAAGAACCGCACTGCCGCCAAGACAGCCCTATAGCTCTAGCTGAGGAAGACTCCAAGCTCCGAAGAGCACTACTCCGACAGTACCAAGGCACCAACTTTCCAATCGAAGTTGGACAGCTTTGCCACTTTTGGCGTGACCAGAGGGAGGACAAGCACACCAAGATCAGATGGCACGGCCCAGCACGTGTGGTAATGCGAGAAGATGATGATCAAGGAGCACCCCACACCTACTGGCTGGCTTGGAAGACACAACTGCTGCGATGTGCACCACATCATGTGCGTGCTGACCTGACGTCCATGGCCAACCAGATCGAGGACGCCAAGGAGGCCAAGAAAGCCGTTGCTGGACTTCGCTCACGTGGTGTGACGCGCTTCTTGGACTTGGAGCGCATCAACAAGCACAACTTGGACGACTTGGATGATGATGAGATGAGCGATGGAGCAGGAGACGATGATGACGATCTCCAACCACCACGACAACGGCGACGCCTTGAAGGCCCTGCTCTACCTGCACGAGGTCTTCCTGCACTTCCTGGCCTTGGCGACCCTGATGATGGCCCACGCACACCTGGGTACTCACCTGGGCACTCCTGTGGATGAGAATGTCCCCACTGAGGTGGTCCCCAGTGATGATGATGCGATCCTTGTGGATCAAGATGCAGCTGCACATCTTCCAGTGCCAGAGCCTGATGAGCTTGAACCTGGACAAGAACCCTCTGTGCCACCGACACCAGCTTTGGCTGCTGCGTCGAGACCGGCTCTGACTTTGGACCCTGAAACGGCCGCTCTCTACGAGCCTGCCCCTGATGAGACCTTCAACCAGATGCGTCGACGATTTGACGCTCAGGAAAGCTCTCTCTTTGGTCCAATGAGGCGCAGACACAGACTTCCAGCGCCCTATGAAGAACCACACCGAGCTCCTCGGAGTTCCCAACCACCACAACCTGCTGAACCTTCTCTACCTCAACAGCCTACTGAAGAACAAGCTCTCTTCAACCATGCCTTCACGGTCACCGACCTTGATGCCACAGAGCTTCCTCAGGGATGGCATGTTGATGAGCAAGGCTACATCCAGCTCGACCTCTCCAAAATGGAAGACTACTGGGAGGTGAAGTCAGGCTGTCTGATCAGGCATCACCTTCGACCTCGACGACTACTACATGAGTTTGCTCCTGGTCCTGACTGCCCTGTCACAGCTGACATGCTGGATCCAATCCGGGTGACGATGATGAGACTGCCCAACGGCAGCACCAATGTCATGACTAACAACATTAAATTAACACCCGAGAAAAGCCTATGCCCACAACATGGACTGGCATCGCAGTCTACCAACTGACTGGCAAGGTTCGTAAAGAACATGCCATGATGGCTACTGCCATGCCTGCGAAAAAGGTGGCCAGACAGTACAAGCACATGACTGCCAAGAAGATCGGCAAGAAACCAGCCGAACTTTCAGAGCGCAATATGTCGCTTTGGGAAAAGGAGCAGTTCATGGCTGCTAAGGCAAAAGAGCTGAAGAGCTTCTTTGAGCACGGCGTGTGGGAGTTCTCAACAGAGAAAGAGGCCGACCCGACACGGACACTGTCATCAAGGATGCTCCTGAAGTGGAGTCGCAATCCTGATGGGTCCCCTCGTGCCAAAGCCAGGCTGATAGTCCGTGGCTATGCTGACCGAGATGCCTTGGAAGGCCGGGTCGAGACTTCAGCACCCACTACGTCGAGGCTCAGCAGATCAATGTTCTTGAGTTTGTCAAGCTGTTTGAAATGGTCTGGATGGACAGCTGATGTGTCCACTGCCTTCTTGCAAGGTGTCCCACAACAGCGACGCCTTTGGGTCAAACTCCCAGCTGATGCTCTGGCGATTCTGGGCTGTGAACCTGATGTTCGCATGTTCCTCCACAAGCCGATCTATGGTCAGCTGGATGCGCCCAGAAGATGGTTTTTGGAGGCCTCACGCCGACTACTTGGTTTGGGTTTCAGAGTGCACCCTCTTGACCCTTGCACCTTCCTGCTCTACGAGCAAGACTTTCCTGAAGGTCGTGAACAACCTGCACCACCTGAAGAGCTACTTGGACCTCACGGACTTTGTGCTATGGTCTGCATCCATGTGGATGACATGCTGGGTGGTGGCTCTACGAGTTCAAAGGTGCATCAGGCTAAAGAGGCTGAGCTCAAGCAAGCCTTCAACTTCAGAGAATGGCAGACTGATGCCAAGCTGGAATACTGTGGAGCTTCTTTGGAAAAGACTCCAACTGGTGGCTGAGCTCTTCATCACGACCCCTTCCTGAAGAAGGTCAAGCCGATCCCCGTGGCACGTGGACGTGGTCCTGATGATGTGATGACTCCTAGCGAGACATCTCAACTACGAGCTCTACTTGGCTCACTGCAGTGGCCAGCAGTTCAAAGCCAACCGCACCTGCAGTGCTCTACGTCCTTGCTTGCCAGCAACATCAGTGCTGGATTGGTTCAAAGCCTTCAAGAAGCAAACAAGCTGCTGAAGTTCGCCAAGAACAACAGCGATGTGAAGCTTTGCTATGAACCTCTGGGTGCTGTGGACTCATTGCGCTTGGTTTGCCAGTTCGATGCTGCCTTCGGCATCCGCCGAGACTACTCCTCACAAGGAGGCTGGATCACTATGTTGATCAACCAGAAGGCCTTTGAGGGACAAGAGTGTCCATACCATGTCATCGACTGGAAAAGCTCGAAGCTGCCTCGGGTGACACGATCTTCCCTTGGCGCCGAAGCCCAAGCCGCTGGCCAAGCTGAAGACAGCGTGGATTTCATATGTCGCTTCTGGGAGTGCCTCAAAGACCCCGACGCGACCCTGGCCGAGATCCTGGAGAGACCTTCATCTCTCGCACCTGTTTTGGTGACTGACGCCAAAGCCCTTTACGACAGCTTCCACAGAGATGGCTTTGGGACTGGTCTGACTGACCGTCGAACCGCTTTGGAGGTCAAGGTGATCAAAGAAGGATTACAATCCTTGGGTGGTTCTCTACGGTGGCATAGCTCTGAACGGCAGTTTGCCGATGGGCTCACAAAAGAGTCAACACGACAGCTCTTAGCTGATCGACTTCGGCATCACCGCCTGAAGTTCACCTGGGACCCCACCTATCAAGCCTCAAAGCGGAAGGATCTCCAAACACGCCTGCAGAGCCAGAACGAGTTCAGCAAGCCAAAAGAAGATGCTGATGAACATCAGCCTGACCAAGATGACGAAGTTCCTGGCCATGCGACTCACTACATGGAGTCCTATGTCTACATGGCTGACCCTGTGGACTATGTCATGGCCGATGAGGAGACCAACGACTATGAGCACACTGAGCTCTCCATCATGCAAGAGCCTGAGGTCATTGCCGACCTGACGAACGTCAACACGGCGACCGGGGACTTTGCCACCAGCGCAAGTCGCTTTATGTTTTGGTGGATGAGTTGGTTGACGGCATTTTGCTGTCTGGTCCCCGGGAAAGCGACAGAAGTGCTTCCCTCAAATTTTGAGGATTTCGCTGTGGCGCAATGCCCACTGCAGATCTATGAGCCGAAGACCGAAGGTCTTGGATCTGGTTCCTATGTCCTTGACTTCCTCTACGACTTCTCCTATGACATCTTCCTCCTGATCCTCTTCCTCACCATTATCTTCATTGCCTATAAGGCTGCATTGATCTTTGGATGGCATCAGGGCTACCGCTTTGTTTTGCGGCGGCGAGCTGTCAGAGCTGAGCGCTTTGAGCGATTGCTGGAGGAGAAGACGGAAGAACTCAATTCAAGGAATGAAGCCTTGGAAGAGATGGCACAGCAACTTAGCCGAAAACATACAGAGATTGCCAATCTCAACCAACATGTCCAAGATCTACGAGGTCATCTTGCCAATGCCCAACCAGAGCTTTTGCACGCCCTGCAGCAGGAGCGAGCCAAAACAGCCAGACTGCAACTGAACTTACAGGCTTTGGAGCAAAGCTACTTCCAGAAGAACGAGCAGGCGGTGACGTTTGAGCGACACATCAGGTCTCTCGAAAACTCAATCTCTGAGTATGAGAGGCTACGCACCAGTGGCATGCGTGTGATGAACCGGGCCCACAATGAGCTCGAACACCACTACAACAGGTACCACCGCAACGGTGAGATCTGTGTGGCGAACAGAGGGACGGTGTGGCACACCGATGGAGGATGCTACCACCTCCACAACTCCTTTGTTCGAGAGCTGTGGCCTTGTCAAGCCTGTGCTCAGGATGTGATGACTCCCCACATCCGGAATGAGAACGGCGTGACGTTGCACAACGCCATGACTGGATGGCTGGTGTCAGCTCAGTTCTTCGACACCTCCAATGCGGACTACCCGATGTTTCCTGTGGTTCCGGGAGCAGCTCCTACGGGCGCCGCACCTTCTTCTGGCAGCGCACCTTCAAATGCAGCTGGCGCCGCGTCTTCTGCTGCAGCTGATGTCTCTATGACAACTGGCTGATCTGGGTCCTGTGCAGGCCCCTCTGGCATTGCTAAGCCCTGGGCAGGCTTCTCGCTTTTGGCGCTGGCGACGATGGCCAAGACGGCCTTAGACTTTGTCAAGTGCACTCCATGCACCATGGGTCACAACATAGCAATTCATGGCCCTGCCGTGGCTATTTACCCTTAAGGGAGGGAATTCACGCGCTGGATGGCGCTACGGTGACGCAACCTCCTCGTGAAAGGTTGCTGCAGCTGACGCTGCTTGGTGGGACCGGACTTCGTGGGCTGGCTACCCCCCGTTCTTCGCAATACTGATTATAATGAAACATCTGTTAATAGTGATTAAGATTACCTAAATCATCATCCATGGGCAATTTTCCATAGCACACCGTTCAATAACTAGAGGGTCACGTTTCGAATGTATTTGTCGATTATTAACTAAATATAAATATCACTTTTTCACTCCTGACCGCAATGAGACTGCATGATGAAGTGTTGTAGTATTGCAGGTGGCTATCGCATAGAGATATGGCTCCGTGTTGTCGTATTCGTACAGTTACTCAGTGGCAACCTAGTACCGAAACATTCGATGGGTACGTGGAGGTTGCTGAGTTTTAAATTAGCAGCACTAACTTCCAGCGGTGCCTACAAAGTGGGGGCCCGCCAGCCGTTCTAAGTTGGTTAATCATCCAACTACTGTATACTGTATAAGTGACAAGTATGCCTCAATAAATCAATCCCATCATCTAGCGATAGACTAATTATAGAGCAACGTAGCTCCATCATTGAAGTTGAGACCACACCAATAAGACTCCGAATTGGGCGCCAGAGCCATCAATTTGTTGGCTGTTTACACAAGACCTTCAGGCGATCGCCTCTCGTTGGGGCGTATCCTTTCGCATCATTGCACTTTCGATGACACGGGTGACGCATATGTTGCATAGTTCAAAGCTTGCAGTTCTCCTTACTCAAGTGGCCTACGAAATTCGAACCATGCCTCAAATGGACCCACGCATGGCCGAACCAAACACTGAAAAAACATGACCTACTAGTACCCATCAACTTCAGTCAAGAAACCGGCCAGCACCAAACCTCCCAACGTCTCTCGGATGCCAATATCCTGCACGTGCCATGGCACATCATTTTTTATCCGTCATGATTCTGGACAAGCCTAGGTCTACGAGGGATTTTCCAGCTCTCCAATTTTTGGGATGGTGACCAATCTAAACTTCCATTGGCTGTGAGGCTGTGACATTCTATCCCCCACCAAGGCAAAGGGCCCAGTTCGCATTGGATCGGGCCGCCACTGAGTCTGGAACTGTGACATTTACAGATGTTGATTCCGATTCAAGGCAATAGATTCTATAGATGGCAATAGAATACTTGGAGGTTGAAATGCACCACGCAAAAACTGGATACTAGGCATGGGCTGCGTATTGTCTCAGGTAGGTCACCCAAACAGTTGGGACGAGTTGCAACGTGCAAGTCTAACCAGCCTAACTCCTTGATGCCTCATGACTTAGTCAACTTAGATGCCCGGCCCTGCCACAACTTACATGTCCCAGCTGGATGGGAATGAAAAGGGACCCAAATAAAAGCTCAAGTGGGCCCCACTTTTTGATGATCAATATCACCAAAGGCTTCATGATATTGACCGATAAAAACATTGAATACCCAAGGTTTTGTCAAGCAATTTACCAATACAAGTCCGATCCGATATCAACAACCAGACAGTGAACAGTTTCAAATATTGATATCTGATAGTTCACTATTATATATGTTGTTACTTTATTTTGAAACATATTCGGTACTATTTAGTTTCAAATACCATTTTCATATATATATATATTATATATATACCAGATCGTTGGCAAAATATTCCCTGCATTCGTTGTCACATCAACCGGTTCTGACCTTGTCAAAGCTGTCGATTGCTCCATTTACGGTGCCTGCTTGCAGAGATCAAAGCCTATCTATCTCCAAAGAGCAAACACAAATTCAAGCCCTTGAAAATGTAGAATCTGTAGCTGTAGAATATGTTTGTTTGATTGTTTGGGAAACTTTGCCGCAATGGCAAAGCCATCGGTTTTTGGACAAGGAATCAAACTAAGCTGTCATAAACTGTCTATCAGGGACGCGTCCGCTCTGAAATCTTAAGAGAATTTGTTATAAGTTATACAAGCGGCTCTATAACAAACCAACGTGCAAAAATTACACACAAAGTACATCCAAAAACAGTATACGAACCAATCTTCAAACTACATTGAGACACAAAGTCGGCGTGGTGAATGCCCAGTGGAATCAATCAGCTTCACATACATTCAGGCCTCCAAAATAAGACAATGTTCCCACCCCGGAATCCAACTTCATGGGTATTTTGTGATAATGCTTTGCAAGGTCAGCCATGTCAAATGGGGCTACTACGTTCGACGGTTTCGAAAAAAATACATGGAAACAGAACCATGGCTGTAAAGACCACAAGGCAGCCATGGACCATCTTCCCCACATTTCGCTGGACAAATCCCAGTATTTCCATCAGCCATTGGCAACAACATCACTGAATACATCAATAATGCTGAATTATATTGTTCGTTGCTACCATTATCTCACATGATACCGGTGTTAAACTTCAACACTCGCAAAAAAAAAAACTGCCAACACCAATATATAGCATCAACACAAGTCACACCAACAAAATTAATCATAAAACAATCATCAAATACGACCAATACAGGAAACAATGAAAAACACATGTATATCATAATATATTGGTAAAGAAACAGAAAACCATCCACAAATTTTACCATGGATCGGATTCCAATCAAAATACGGATGGTTTCCCAGATTTATAGTTGATTTTCCCATGGGCAACCGGGGGAACCTCCATATGAAAAAAGCTGCTTTCCAATAGATTTACACCATTTTACGGGCCCAAATAGGGGGTCCTAAAGGGGGGTATCCCCAAAACATCCAGTCATGACGACTGGCCAAGAAGCCCAGGGTCGATTTCACGGAGGATGAAGTTTCACCTTCGGTAGAGTCCTGGCGACAGGTTTAGCAGTAAGCCACCTTAGTCAATATAGTGGTTATATATATATACATACTTATACACAGTATAAGATCTAAATAATATAATGGTTGGTATCTACTTAGCTTATATACATGTATATTTAGAACATGGTTTTCGTAACCATTACGGGTATTTGTAATATTTTCTAACTGAATAAATCGTGAGTACTTCACAAATGCTTCATAACCCTTCGACTTGTAGATCTGATCACGGCCGTGAAGCGTCCAGCGCGCCTGACAGTGCTGCGCCGACTTTGCCAGAGACTTCCTAGGGCTCAGACATGTGGTTTTAAATTGCTACAATGTGGGGCCCCCAAACGATAGCTAAGTTGGCTTATAACTCCAATAACTATGGTTTATGATACTTATAGCTATTATAGTTAATGGGGTTTATACACCATCTTATAACTGGGGGCGCCCACATTGTATGGTTTAAGCAGTTCAAATCCCAAGAACCCGCGCAGGACCAAATGCCGGTCATGTATGAGGACCTGCAGGTGAAAGGTGTTTGACGAAGTGCAACCAGATAAATAGATATAAATAGCCCAAGCAGCTCTCGGAATTTACCACCACCCCGTTTTTTTACACAACCGGCCGGTTTTTACGCAAGAACTTGCGCCAGAAAACACTTCAGAATGGTCCATGCAGGAGTTCGTGCTTTCTGGAGGATGCAACTCATGAAAATCCCAGCAAGCTGATGCAAATTGATGTGGGTTGTTTCATGTTGTTTCCCAATCAGCAATGGTGAGGTTGGCCAGGTTGGTGTAAGTGTAATCCACACTAAAATTGGGACAAGTGAAATCGCCATCCTTTGACCCTGAGCTACCGTTAATCGTCTGCCACAACATCTGCCAATGACATGTTCTTTAGCGGACTGAAATACTGAAATCCATTATCATTGAATTAAATACTTATCAACACAATTGGACACAATGATCTTGAAAGTGATGGAAGCGACCACACTCTCTGTCTGGAAGTTCTGTCCGCTTCATCCTAGTGAACAGTCCAACTTGAATGATTTTTTGGTTGGAAGGAACAACTACGAGGAGGACATCTGAAGTTCAAACATCCCCGGCAAGTCATGAAAGCGTCATACTTCTGGTTCAGGTAGTCCACAAAATTCAAGGCCTCCAAAGACGCTGAAGAGACACCCTTCAAAACCGTGGAGACGTCATCATCCTCCTGCACAGTACAAGCTGCTGCTTAGACATCCATGAAACCGACAGACCTAAGCATCGCTGTCTGTGTGGGTGCGCGCGTGTTGGTGCAAAAAATGCACTCAATCACTGCCAAAATCGTTGAGCACATTCCCATGTTTGTGGGTAACCCACTAATATACAAAAGATGGCACTGCAAACCCATCGCTCCAGTGATGATGTCAAAACAAATGACACGCTGAGACCACAAATTTTTGGCCGCTGGTCCCAACCCACCACACAGATGGGCATGGGTCAAACTCTGGTATTCAACATATGGTTTTGCAGTTCTGCAAATTTCATCTTGAATAGGTAAATTATCAATAAATTGGTTGTGTTTCATAGCTATGTTAAATCACTGGACAGTAATTCAAGTGTGCTATCTTGACCGGAGAAAATGATCAACATGTGCACCTGTTGGATTAGGAAGTGCCTGCAAGCCCCTGCAAAGGTTTGCTGGAAAACATCATCCATCCATCAATCTATCTATCTATCTGTCTGTTGATCGATCCATCAGTAAAGCGACCAATCAATCCACCTATCTATCTATCCATCTATCTACCTAAATAATTATATAATTACAATAAATAAATATATATATATAAAAATAAACAAATAAATAAATATATATATATATATGATATAACTTTAGAATTTCAAAAAAAAACATCCACACGTACAAAAAAAAAGCACACTGGACACCACCCTGGGTCTGTCCTTTTTGGCCAGGTAGGAGGTGGCCACAAAGCCTGCCGCGCCGATCCAAAAGCCGCCCAAGAGGAGGCCGGTCACCCCGCCCAGGACGCCCGCGGTGGCGATGGTGTTCCTGGAAGCATTGGGGAGGTCAGAAGGTGAAGCCTCCCAAATAGCTAAGCTGGTGTATAACTACTGTATAACATAATTATCTAAGTATGATATAATTGTATATATAGTATATATATATATATATAATATATATATAATTATATATAGTTATGTACATAGCTTGACTATCGTGATACTATGGTTTATGGTAGATATTCATGTTAACTCGGTGTTTATACACTCATTTTATGGCTGGGGGGCACCAACTTCTTCATTCCCTTTTCATCGCTTTTCCATGGAATCTGGCTCCCAAATCCCCTGCTAGAAAAGCTTCACTTCTAGTGCTGATGCATGTATAGAATTTATACATGCATATGCAATCGCAAGTCAAACCTCGAAAACAGAAAACCATATTCAGCAAACTCTGATTAGTCAGTCAAAAAGGCTGCATTCTGAAACTTCGACTTTCCGACCTCAAGCAACTCTGACCAAGTCAAAATGTGTAAATGTGATGAGTTTTCTTGGAGAAGCGATTGAAACAAAAGCTTTATACTCAAACGAACGTGTCATCGTGTATTTGTTTCAAACAAGGTGCCAAGAATTGAAACGCGTTATATTTCAAAATTGAATTCATGTCATGGGCCCGCATGCATTCACACACATCACCCCTAACGAAATGGTCTTTGAAACGGATAGCCGCTTAGCCTCAAAATATGGCACATTAAAAATCACCGACCGACTGCGAAGCAGGACTGGCATGTGGAGCGGAATCTATGGTGTAAAAGAAACATCACAGAGATGGTCTGAAAAAAAGAAACGAACTGAAATACTGCATGTACCCAAAAATACAATGGTAGTGATAAAACGGAATTAGATCATTTATATCCATGTATTTGCTATGAGTGCCTAAATGATTTTGTTACACTGGATGGCTCACCGAGTTTCTTGGGTGTTGACGATCCGGGGCCTCCGGGGATGGGGTTTATCAAGAAGCCCACTCAAAGTGTCTTTTAGATTCCCTATGATCAGTATGTTAACGATTAATCCTCCAAGGCCCTAAGCTTTATCATCAGATTTCAATGTCCACACCTTTTGCTGGTTGAAGTCCAATCTGTTATTAGCTGGCTCAATTTGTTAAAAAAACGTATATATATATATATGATACCATATGCATCGCCATTGAAGGACCTTTTGGTCTGGTAAAATTCCATTTCTGTTGGTCAAGCTTAAAGCTTCAATATTTGGAGGATTGTTTTAAGATATTCAAACCTTTGTGCCGTCCTTTAAATGTTCTAAAATCAGATAGTCGTCATTGTATAATATGTATAATAGTTTTATTTATGAAGTTCACGTCATTTTTTTGGGCCGGTTCAATCACCGAAACCAAGTTTCTCTTTCGTCACCTGCACCAAAGCCACCGACTGGGACGTCGTTGCTTGTCGTGGCGCCCTCAGCGCCCGGCCGTTTCCGCTGCGAGTTCCGCCGCCGACGAAGCAGGGCACCAGCACGGCGATCGCCAGCAGGGCGAAGAACGGCAGCAGCACGCGGCGGGACATGTTGGGCGATGCTTCGGGGCTAAGGGCAGGAGCTAAGCGCTGCGGAGATGAGGCTTTGTTATCTATGTTCTGATGGGGGGTTGGAATCAGTATGGAAAATGAGAGCATCAAAATAAATACAAATGAAATTGAACGAATATATGTGATATAATTGATATAGAAATAAATTGTTGATTGTGAGAGTTTCCGATTTGGAACTTGGACCAGTTGTAGTGGGCTACAAACCATTTACAACATGTTTCCTAGTAGCAGCTTGCATCCAAGATAGGTCGGCCGGAAAAGATCGAAATGGTTCCAGAAATGACCTTTTCGTCAGGGAGCCATCAGCGATAGTTGTTGGGCCATTCACGACCTGAAAGGTGATGGAAGCCATACAAAACCATATCAAAACTATACAGTCATACAAAACCATATCAAAACTATACAGTCATGTCCAGGTAGGTTGTAGCCCATCTTCCAACCACCTCTATCTTTATCTGCTATCTCTGTTTCCGGCGCCAGAACAGTATTTATTATACCTGCCTCTTCGAAATGGTGCCGCTTTTTGCATTTGATTCCCTTCGTCTGATCCCCGGAAGAAAAACATTCCGAACAAAATGCTGCCACGGAAAAAATGCTCAATGTGAATGTGAAGGCTCCTATCATAACATAACCCTCACTGAAAATACGCCAAGGTCCCCTATAAGGGGACCTCACGGATGGTGGTCAACTACAAGATGGTCAATCCATATCCCATAGGATCCATGTATGGTATATATGCTAACATTTGGGGTATATTCATGGTAAATGTTACCATATATAGCATACATGGATCCTATGGGTATGCTGATCCAAAAAACAAAGCATGGGATGCTCTGGGCCTCCGGGCTTCTCTCCATCGCCTTCTCGAAGATTTCATGGCTTCTTGTTGTGTCGTTGTTTCTTTTTCCCCTCATGTGGTATACCCAACAAAAACCATCCCCAAGTCAGCATATTTTCCAATGGGTGCTATGTAAAAACCATCCCAAATGGTAGGTTTATGGCATTGTCTTTTCCAAATTCATGGCTTCTTTATGCTTCTTTCCAATGTACTCATTGATGGAGTCGCTGCCGTTTGGAGGGCCATCCGAGAAGCGGGCTGCGCAAAATGAAGCTTAAACTCCCTTTTTTGATATGTTAAATTAGTAAATCATCGACTCATCCATAGCTATCCATAAGAGTAGCCATGTGAAATTACTGGGGGTAATGAACAAGGAACCTTGAAAGCAACTGGGAAATAACTCCGTATTTAGTTGGGATTTGTTATTGTTAAACTGTTAGAGTGTGCGATGTTGTACGCTTACCCTAGTGACTCCAGTGAGATACAGTGAGTACTTCCGCAAATCCGCAAGTGCCATGGTCAATAACTGGCTGACTGGGGCATGATGTCGTGTAGATGCCCTGGTTGTTTGCACACATTCTTTGTTGTATTCAATAAGGCCCCAACATCCATCAACATCTGGTGTCACTATGTTGTTTTGTGCCATTCTTTATGCCCGTGTTTCCTTGTTTTGACTGGGGACTGATTCTTTTCATGAACTCCATTTGTTGATGCAAAAAAAACTAAAGTTTCCAGCAGTTGGCTCCTCACTCCCCCGCGAGTTGTTTTCATCTCGTTGCAGTCAGGCGGGCGCATCTCCTGCAAAGCTTCTGGATTGGTAAGAAAGGGGTGCAGCTTACGTGAGTGTAACCGTTAAAGGTTAGAAACCGCTTGTGATGTTTCCTAAAGGAGGGTAAATGGGTTAGCCCACCTGCATGTAGGATGGATTTCGTCAGAGGGATGACTTGCAATTCGAATTGCGATGGCAAGTCCTTGAGCTCCCACGATAGCGACCTATCCTGAAACAGGACCCATCTTGCTTGGTTCTATCCCCATTGGTGACGTGAAACCAACCATTTTCCTGATCCCTACTCCTCTGGAGTTATCCTCTAGTAATCAAACCCTGGTTTGTTGGAAAATCACCCATTCTCTCATTTCTCTTGATGATTTTCCCAGCAAACCCAGGTGATGTTGATAGATGTTCCAATGAAAAATCAGCATTTCCATGGGATTCCCGGGAATTCCAATCAAAAACCAGCATTTCCATGGGGAAAAAACGTCTTTTCCAGCTTTTGGGACCGGATCCGGAGATCACCACGGCTTCAGGGGTGCTCGAACTGCGTGAGCCCTTGGGCCTCGATTGCTGAAGATCTGGGGTTTAGTCATGGGGGTAACCCAAACTCGCTGGATGGTTTATAAACCCTAATAACTAGGACTTATGGTAGATATATCGAACTAGTTAATGTGATTATAAATCAACTTATATAACTTACTGGTGCGTTTTACGCAGGAAATTTTCGGGAATGATCCACTGGCCAACTATCAATAATCATCCCAGCAACCCGATTCCCATCCATTCCCTACTAAGCACCAGGACTAGCTGACAGTGGTAAAAATTGTACTAGCTGAACAGCTAAAAGTTAGATTTTTTGGCAGGTACAATGTGGCCCCCCCCAGTTATGTTTGATGGTTTATAAACCCCATGAATAGTATAGTCTCAGTATAGTTATTTGCGTATCATAAACCATAGTGACATTGGAGTTATTTGCACCAACTGAACGCTATCGTTTGGGGGGCCCCACATTGTAGTCATGGGGGTACCCCAAACTCGCAGGATGGTTGATTTCCATGGAAAATCCCATCTATAAATGGATGATGACTGGGTGTAGCCCTATTTTAGGACAGCACCATATGTGAAAACAATGATGTTGGTAAAACAATAATAAGCAAACCCCAATTTCAGAAAATACATGTGGTATAAACCATTCCCAAATGGTTGGTTTATTATTGTTTTTCCAACATTATTCATCATAGCTTGACCATGTTAGATTATTCTGTATATATACAATGATCATAGACGTCGATATTATTACAACCCAATGCATTATATTGGTTTATGACAAATAAGAAACATTGTTAATATATTACCAGCCAGTGGTTAATCACCCATAGATTGTAATATTAATACTAACCAAGGGTTAACATGGGTCTCTAATACCGGTTAACACTTGTGTATCTGCTAATGGCAACAATGGTTCATACTTGTCAATATATTTATCTACATATTTCAATGGAATTGATTTAGTTTCTCAACTTGTCTGATCTCATTTTACCAATATGAGGATGTATCTACGTTGATTTACTTTGCAACTTTGAAAAACTGATGTATGCGTTTATTAGTCTATGAGTATGATTCTGTATCCGCAGCTTTACATATTTATTTATGCATGCATCATCATGCATTATCATGCTCCATTCACCCATGCACTCATGCATCCATGCTTCCATGCCTGCATGCATCCATCCATCCATCCATGCATCCATCCATCCATCCATCCATCCATCCATCCATCCATCCATCCATCCATCCATCTTTTGCACCCATACCATGTGTGTGTGCTACTGCTATAGCCCACAATATGTATAAATACCCAGAAACAACATCAATATGCAATCTGTGCGCAACAATTTCCTATGGCACTGAGCTCCATCGTAGATTCCTATGATTGAGCCATGTCAATGTCAGCCCTATGAACCTTTCCATTTCGTAAAGGTTGAGTTGCCAAGCACCGGCATTACGTAGTTCCGCTGCCGGGAAACCGTGTTCCACAATCGAAACGGGCTCTTCAGGCCCTTCCACGTTTTTTCAATGTTCCTTCATTCTGTTCTGAAGTTGGAACTGCGCCCAATCTTCAAGTTCCAGGAGTAAAACAGGAAACCCAACCTCGCCCATTACCAGCTGAGACTGGATATGCACCTTTGGCAACCTCAAATGGTTAGATATGCTGGATGAAGAATCCTCATTCGTTGATGATGTTCTTGATTACTATACATTGGGTGCAGCTCACAGCTTGGTCCCAGCTTTGCTTGAGCAAAACTTGAAGTGCATACATACATCATGAAATGTTTTATAGCCTTATAGTGATCCTAAAAAAAAAGTACGAAAAGGTTCCATTCATCACTATTCTAATGGGATTGGGCCATTCTATTTGCTCGGGGGTACAATGCCAAAAACTGCGAAGTCTTCAGTGGACAAATCCATGCCCTGCAGTCCCTGCAGCCCAGGCCTCATTGGCGTAATAGAAGACCCCCGGTTTTGAGCGAGATTCCTTTTTGACCTCGCTGTATCCACTGATATCCATTGGAACCAGGACTGAAGAGCCGTTGCGTTGGGATCATCGTTTTGTTTTGGAGATGAGGTCTGAACATGTCTAATCCCCCTCTCTCGTTCAGGTTAAGCACCCCCCCAACGAAACCATGGTGGATGTAAGGATTGAACGAAATCACAGGTTTGGGACTATAAATATGCGGGTGTTTAAATAGAACGTGAGATGGGATTTAACAATACACATGATAAAACTAGTTTAACTGGGTGAAGCATCCGGGTTTCATATGGTTCTGTGATCTCAATGTGCGGTAAGACCCAGACATAATGCACACGTTAAAACACGGTCGAGTAGCGTAGCTCATCGTTGCACATCAATATTGATCACCCGTAGCCTAGGGCCTAGACCTGAACTGCGTTTCCTAATGGAGAGGGTGTGGCATGATGATGCTGATAATAATGATCATGGTAATGCCCACCCTTAGCTAGACTCATCATCATCATCACCATCATCATCATCATCATCAGTTTCCCATATTGCCAGAATAAACATGGCCATTGGCGTAGTATGGTCTTAACCACCATCGTCATATATGGTCCTTATATGGCCATCATCGTCATCACCCCGTCATCAAATCTGAAGATCCGCCAAAGACCAGGGTTCCACACCCATCCAGGGGGCAGTCCATCATCCTGGAGTTTATCGAAGCCGGGAGGCCCTGGGATTTGGAAAAATGGGGTACAATGTGAGGCCCCCAAGATAGCTAAGTTGGTGCAAATACCTCCAAAAACTATGGTTTATGGTACTTATAACTATAGTTACTGGGGCTTACAAACCAACTTACAACTGGGGGGCCTCACATTGTATATGTGAGAAAATAGACGCGACATGAAATGAAACATGAAGGAAATGAAACACATATGAAGGATTTGTTTATCCTGGACCTATAGTCTATACTCTATGATTTTCATTTGAATATTCATATTCATCTTAGGTATTTGGGATGCTGCAAATGCCCAACATCACTATGACCTTTGGGAGAAAGAACGCAATTAATTTGGAGTAGGCCAACATAAGTTTTTGCAGTTTGGGTCTACATGCTGATACACATATGTATAATATATATATAAATATAAAGTTATGGTAAATGTTTCCAAGTATCCAAAGTCGATGGACATAATTTAAATTTACCTAGCATGGTTTCGTTTTTTTCGTCTTTGCTCAGATTTACAGTAATGAATTTTACGGACAGTTATTTGAAAGTATGCAAGCAAATTTGCCGTAACCCCCGAGACCCCCTACTCCCAGTGGCCTATAGCCCCACCACTGATAGTGCCAGCACAAACGTAGCCAATAATTAGTTCATACTATATAGACACGTAGTGTCTATTTTGCTGGCTAATTCCATCATTGAAGTTGGTTAAGGTAAATCCTATTATAGTTGGTCATATAGTGACATATCACCTTTCTAAAAAACATACTTCTTGTTCAAAACATCCACATGGTTGAATTCGTTATACCATGTCCAAAACATCGACATGCTTGAATTGGTTGTATCAAAAACACGTCTACTGTGTCACCCTTGAGTTCCTGTTCTCTCTGAACGGTCCCTCCATTTCAACCTGCCCCATGGCAATGTTATAATTTATTATACATATATACATGTTTTATTATACATATATCTATATATCATATATATCGTACTATATCCCCAGTAGATACCCATTAATCACGCAGAAATCCCAATAAAACATCATTAACTCTCACTAAAAGCTCACTCAACCCCTCTGAAATCACCGCTGAACCGGCCTTCAACTTAGGACTTCGACTGCGCGAAAGATGCGGCGCTGCCTGCGAGGATTCTGGTGCTTCTGGTGCTATAATGGGGATATCATGGCACATAACATCAATATACACATATATATATATATATATCTATATATATATATATATTCGGATGTTCCCCTTCCTTGTAACAGTGACCACAACTGGACAGCACAAACGGAGCACCACAAAAATGCTCCAAATTGAGTTTATCTCTGATCAGAAGTCCCAACATACAGCCATGCTCAAATCAGAAAACTTACAGGAAAGCCCCATATTTAATGGGAAAATCTACGGTTTCCTGTAGATTTGACCTTAAACCAATCCATTGAATATCTATAGATAGATGTATTGTGCCATGATAGATGCCAAACATGCCATTCCTTATTTATATATATATATATACTAGACGACGGTTGGCCCGAGAGCGAAAAAGATGTTTTTCAAGCAGCTCTGAGGATGGTAGTCGTAAAAGATAGTCGGTGAATAGTTGGTGAATTTTATATGAGCTATGGAAAGATATGGTGTGAAAAAGTACGATTGATCAAGAAGAGAATATTTGGTAAAGGGCATCAGATGACGTGTGTCTTGCAACCACAGAGAGAAAGAGGGGGGGAGAGATAAAGAGAGAGAGAGAGAGAAAGAGAGAGAGAGAGAGAAAGAGAAAGCAAGAGAGAGAGAGAGATAATGAAAGGGGGAGGTAGAAAGAAAACATGGAGAAATGTAATGTGAGCAACAAAAGTGCACAGGAGGCTCGGTACCATGAGTCTGCGAATGACATGTGCTATCTCATTTTATTATGGTAATTCCCACACACGTGTCGCCGAACTTGGCGGAGACACTTTTACACACAGACGCTTTCACACAGAAACGCTTTTCATGCACACACACACAGACGCATTTCCACACAGAGACTTTTACACAAAAACACTTTAACACACAGACGCTTTTATACACAGACACTTTTACACACATACGCTTTTACATGCAGATGCCTTTTTACAGACGCACACATACTTTCACACACAAACGCTTTTACACACAGACGCTTTTGCACCCAGGCACAGACGCTTTTTCACACAGACCCTTTTACACACGGACGCTTTTACACACAAACACGTCCAACGTCCATTTCGTGCGAAAGGGTTGCGATTGACAACTCGAAGTCGCAATTTTTCTTCAGTTTTTGACGTCCAACGTCCATTTCGTGCGTAAGGGTTGCGATTGACAACTCAAAGTCGCAATTTTTCCTCAGTTTTTGACGTCCAACGTCCATTTCGTGCGTAAGGGTTGCGATTAACACCTCAAAGTCGCAATTTTTCTTCAGTTTTTGACGTCCAACGTCCATTTCGTGCGTAAGGGTTGCGATTGACACCTCAAAGTCGCAATTTTTCCTCAGTTTTTGACGTCCAACGTCCATTTCGTGCGAAACGGTTGCGCACGACGCTTCAAAGTCGCAATTTTTCTTCAGTTTTTGACGTCCAACGTCCATTTCGTGCGAAAGGGTTACGCGCGACGCTTCAAAGTCGCAATTTTTCTTCAGTTTTTGACGTCCAACGTCCATTTCGTGCGAAAGGGTTGCGCGCGACGCTTCAAAGTCGCAATTTTTCTTCAGTTTTTGACGTCCAACGTCCATTTCGCGCGAAAGGGTTGCGCGGGACCAATAAAAGTTGCAATTTTTCCTCAGTTTTTGACGTCCAACGTCCATTTCGTGCGAAAGGGTTGCGCGGGACGCTTCAAAATCGCAATTTTACCTAGGTTTTGGACGTCCAACGTCCATTTCGTGCGAAAGGGTTGCGTTTCGTGGCGCTCCGGCGGCACCGCCCCCGCCTTAAGAGAGAATAGAAGAAGAGCGAGAACAGATCTGCAGATGTGAAGGTGTGAAGATCTAGATCTGCAGGTGTGAGGATGTGAAGATCTAGATCTGCAGGTGTGAGGGTGTGAAGATGTAGATCTGCAGATGTGAGGGTGTGAAGATCTAGATCTGCAGATGTGACGGTGTGAAGATCTAGATCTGCAGGTGTGAAGGTGTGAAGATCTAGATCTGCAGGTGTGAAGATGTAGATCTGCAGATGTGAGGGTGTGAAGATCTAGATCTGCAGGTGTGAAGGTGTGAAGATCTAGATCTGCAGGTGTGAAGGTGTGAAGTCTAGATCTGCAGGTGTGAAGGTGTGAAGATCTAGATCTGCAGGTGTGAAGGTGTGAAGATCTAGTATATCTAGATCTGCAGGTGTGAAGGTGTGAAGATCTAGATCTGCAGATGTGAGGGCGTGAAGATCTAGATCTGCAGGTGTGAAGGTGTGAAGATCTAGATCTGCAGGTGTGAAGGTGTGAAGTCTAGATCTGCAGGTGTGAAGGTGTGAAGTCTAGATCTGCAGGTGTGAAGGTGTGAAGATCTAGATCTGCAGGTGTGCAGGTGTGAAGATCTAGTATAACGGCTGCTTTTTTACGAAGAACCCTTCGCAGGCGCTCTCGGGAATAAAGAAAAAACATAGGCATTGAATCAACTTCTAAGTGTTTTCATCGTTGTTGGAGGGGGGCATACCATATGCATATATATGATTATAATTATATATGTACAGTAACCCGCAAAAAGATCGAAAAGTAAATTCACACTGAAATAGGGGTAACACGCTTTCCTATCTTTGCTGGGGGTCATTATACATATGTTGTTTAGATTTACATATTAGTTTATTTGTCTACTTGTACATACGGAATTCTATCTTCGGGAATTTAAATTAGGCATTCACTATGATATGTGTTGAAATGATTCACAGGGATTCAACTGGAATTGGATATGTAACCTATGACGGATCCATGGTGCTGGTATATTAATGCTAACATGACTGGGGTATAAATATATTCATGGGATCCATGTTACCATATATGGCAGCACCATGGATCCTATGGGTAAGTAGAAAATAAATTGGTTGGTGGTTGACCTACCCCTCTGAAAAATGATGGAGTTAAAGTCAGTTGGGATGATGAAATTCCCAATATATGGAAAATAATCCAAATGTTCCAAACCACCAACCAGTAAACCATCAACCGTTAACCAACTAAAATAGACTCTAAGCCCCAGCCCTCTTGGGCCAGCATGGCAGCATTTCATTTTTCCGGTCCACATCCAAATCTTAGGGCTGCATGGGACTTCAAGGCGATACATCTTCAGGAACTATAGGATGAAAACGCCCAAAACATATAGGGGTTTAGATTGGACTACCCAACACACACACAGTGTGGAATCATATTGATGGTAGCATGTGGAAGCCCATTTCCAAGCACTTTATTTAGGTTATTTGGTAACCATGTCCAGTGATGCTACAGTGCTGTCATTTGTTGGTGCTTCAGTCGTCATCCCACCTGACATGGCCAATCTTCGATATCAACTGGCAGTATATGTGGTTTCTGCCCCGCTTGATATATCAGGTAATATAGTGAGTACATGTTGCTGATCTGACGTGATCTAACGAAAATTCAAGGTACCCATCCAATCTTAAGAATAGATGGAGCTTTTCTCAGTCATGGGGGTACCCCCAGTTATCATCCAAGTCATGAATGACCACCGGACTTAGTATTGAAACTTCTGGTGGGTGGTTTCAACCCCTCTGAAATGATATGAAAGTCAGTTGGGATGATGAAATTCCCAACTGAGTGGAAAAAAAATTTCATGTCCCATGACTTAAATGTCCCATGACTTAAGACTTAAGAACACCCCTCATTTCCCGATTCTTGACGCTCCCTGCCTTGCCGCCACCTGGCGCCCATGGTTTATCTATGTCTATCTAATACCCTCTGGCTATTTAACATAGCCATGGGAAGTGGCACATTTATAGAGGTTTACCTATTTAAAATGGTGATTTTCCATGGCTACGTTAAATAACCAGATGGTAAAACTTATTGGCGTCTATCTACTAGAACTTATTGGGAAACCCGGTGATAATAAAGTAGGCAAACAAACATGAATTTAACTTGGCATAATCGTAGTTTACCGAGAAACAGTTTATTGGGAACATGTCTATTGTGTATTGGAAACCGATTGGGAATAAGCCCAATGAACCTAAACAAAAAGTTTATCAGTATGGACAACAATTAGGCAACGCCAATGATAAAAAACATGATGTTAAGGGTAAACCCTTTTCAAAGCTCCAACAATTAATGAAAGTAGGTTGACGGTTTATGAGACCCAAAAAGTAACTTTATTTCCTCCTTTTTGGAGCATTTCATTGTAATTAGTGCAATTGATGGTTCAGTAGTAAGGTTTAGCAATTTTGTAAACCATAACAAATCCAATGCCATGAGCCTATTACTTTTACCACCCATTTATGGTAATATGAATATTGAGGACGGTATGTTCTTGGGTTTGCCACATTGCTGTTTAGTAGAATTTTACTACTCTCTCTCTCTATATATATATATATACACGGTAAAACATACAATTTTTGGGAGGCTGCTATAGGTTTACCTGGGTCATACAGCGGTACCTTGAAAACAAGAAGCACGCAAAGATCAACGGCCATTCCGTCAATGTATCACACAGAGATAATAGAGTAAATCCAAAAATCAACCGTCTGAGTAACCAACCATTTGGGGGGTCATTTTGCATGATCCCAAATAGAGATGGAGCCAATCATAAAACCCACTTGGGGATGGTGATTTTGGTGATCAAGAAAACATGATGAACATTGATGAACAAAACCAGCCATTTCCAACCAAACACATTTTACCAAAACATCTACATGTGGATTCGTTCACTATTTCTTTGTCGACCCCCAAAACCACGGAAAACGTAAATCCCACTAAACTAGTGGTAAGTCACATTTCTATCTTTTTGGGCTTTTATGTATTTTATGTATACATATCTTTCAAAGAGTAATATACAGTAATATTGCTATTTGAATTGTCCTTTGGTAATTTAACAGTTTGCTATGAAACATGGATGAAAATGGCACTTTCCGAAAAAAAAAAAGTGATTTCCCATATGTAGCTATGTTACCATGCGGTAATCAAACATGGTTAAATGGAGGTTTTAATGGGAAGATCTAGACATGGAGGATTGCCCGTTGCCGTGTATAATTACCAGAGGGTACCCTAGGGGAAACTAACATAGATGTGGAAAAACCATGAAAAACCTGCATTTATAGATCATGAGTAATAGGGAAACCATGGATATCCAAATCCTTTTGTATGTTTATTGGGTACCCTCTGATAAACTAACATAGCTATTGAACATGTGGTCATTTATTGCACGATTTACCCATTAAAAATTGTGATTTTCCATAGCTATGTTAGTTTGCCAAAGGGTAAGGGACCAGAATGCCACCTGACATCTCACCATCCGCCTGTGGCCCCGAAGAGATCGCAGTCGTCAGAGGCCTCCTGCTGTGAAGTCTTGCCTTAGCGACAAACGGGACCCTGCTTTGTAAGCCCCAAAAAAGGTAGTAATCCCGAAGATAGACACGTGAGATAGACAAAGTTAATCAAAGTGATATAAATGATGGTAATTTATCTGTATTTTAGTATATTTTAGTGAGAGGTTGCTGGTCTATCCTTTTGTTTCCTTTTTGGGGGGTTGCTATATTTCAATATGGGTTGAACATTGCTGAAGCCCTATGATAGTTGATATC